ATCCCCACCACCAGCAGCTCCTTCCTGGAGATACAGGGTGGGCACGGGGGGAAGGAGCGCCTGTCTTCCCACAGCCTGGGCTGGGATAACTGGGATGAGTGGCGAGCTGAGCCGGGTCCTTCTGAAGGGTTTGGACCCACCTGCATTGAGAGAACAGTCTTTGATCTGGAATTGGGCCTCGTTCTCATTGGGAATGTCCTTCCAGGTGGCCAGGAACATCTGCCGCTCTGCAGTGAGGAGCGAAACCCACACAGTGAAGCCCCAGGGCCGGCCGCCCCCTCCGTCTCCCCAGGGTGGCACAACACAGGCCCCTCGAAGGGGACGTCGCCCGGCCACGCGTCACCCCCCAGCAGCTCCCCAGCCGCACGGAGCCGCAGGAGAGCTGCCTGCTGTGGGGGGGTTCACACGCCACGCTGGCTGGGGAAGAGGCTGCGGAGTGCCGGAGAAGGCCAAATAAGCAGGGAGTGAAGCATGAGGTCTCCCTGGCAGCCAGGAGTTAGGATGTGGCTTAGGCCAGCTCGGACAGCTGCAGCACGGTGGAACAGCAGTGTCCCCATCCGCAACTGCCAGGGGCATCCGGCTCCCTGTTCCATCCCAGGGCTGGGAACGTGGCTGGAGGATTTCAGGGGCCAGGAATGCACCTCCGGACCGGTGGCCAACGCACGCCTCGCCGCAGGCACAGCCACACGCGCTCCAACTCACCCATCTTCCCGTCCTCCACGAAGAGGATGTGCAGCGGGTACAGGGTGCTGAAGTAGAAGACGTCGATGTTGTTTTTCACTGCGACCTGGGGCGGGAGGACGAGGGGACGTTAACCCCTCCTCTGACCTACAGCAGGCACGCGGTTCCCAAAGCGAGCATCCCATCGATCCCTTGAGCCGGGTGAGCTCCACAGGCAAGGCTGGCAGCTGCCAGGAGGGAGCTGGAGCGGCCAACCCCCATGCCAGCTTGCTCCCAGGTGTGCCACTGTCCCCATGTACAGGGGAAATGGGGAGCTGCTGGGGCTGTACCACCCTAGCCTGCTCTCTCTGCTCCCCCAGGAACTATGGCTCCACCATCTCCCCCCCTGCTGGGACACCGAGAGCAGATGCTCAGCCGAGGGCCCTGGCAGCAAGGATCTTCCTCCGCGCAGTTCTGCGCAGAGCGGGATGTCAAATCCGTGCCAGGCTGGGCTCTGACCGCAAAAACAAAGCTGAGCGTTTCTTCTCGCCTGCTTCTCACCCTGGGGCACCCATCTCCAGCCCCCCAGGAGGGGAGAACCCGGCTGTTCCCTACCTGGAGATTGTTCAAGGGGTCCATCTTCATGACAGAGCCGACAGTGTTCAGCGGAAGGGAGATCTCCACGGACTGGTTGGGGGCAAGGGGCGCGTGGACCTGGAGAGGGGCTGCCGGGGCCAGGCCAAAGCTGGGGGGACACCCAAGGAGGGCAGGGGGTCAGGGTGGGGAGCAGCAGATGACGGCAGAAGGCATTGCCCATCTGCTCCAGGCCAAGCTCAGGACTCCCTGCCTTCCTCCACTCAGACCCCAGGAACACCCCAGCTCATCCTGTTGGCCCAGCACAGCGCAGGGCCAGGCTGGCCCCTGCCCTGCCTGTCCCGGGGCAATAACAGGGAGCCCCAAAGTTCCCCCCTTCCTCTGCTGGAGCAACACCTACACAGACTCACACCCATTCTTGGTGTTCCTGCACCATTCCCTAATGGCTACCCCTTGCTGTGTCCCCGAGGAAACAGGGAGCATCGGTTCACCAGGACGCGTAACGGGCGGGCGGTCAGACCCCAGAGGAACAGCCTCTTCAGTCAACTTCTTAGAGGCTTTGGTTTGATGATCATCACCACCACAGCCATCAGAGAGAGAAGGGTCATCACGTGAGGCTGTTCCCAGCCCTTGCAGCCCCCTCCTCCCACCCTTTTCCACACGCAGCCGCTCCAGGGCTGCGCTCAGAGGCGCCAGGCAGCCCCCCCCAAGGGGACCTCACCTGTTGCGGTTGAACTGGATGGCGAAGTCGGACATGACCTGCAGAGCCTTGTTTGTTAGCACGAGGTCCATGGAGATGGAGCCCACCTGCCGGCTGAAGGTGCCGGAGATCTCCAGCCCCTTGGCTTTCATGGCAGGGAGCCAGACCTGCGTTAGGGAGACCAGAAATCCCCGGGGTTCTACCCAAAGCAAACCCATCGGTGCTCTCCCGCTGATAAAGCCGCCCAGGGTGTTTGTAAAGCAGGAGCATCTCACGGCTACTGACACGCAGCCGGCGCAGGCACCCTCACCCAGCCAGGGCTGCAGGAGGCTGCTGCCTCCAAACATCACCCCACACCCCAGAATCAGAGATGTGACCTACAGATCCCTGCTCTCCTCTCTGCGCAGGGACTCGTGCCACCCAGGGAACGTGCAGATGCCTCTGCCCCGCACCCGGGCG